CTTATTTCATAATTGGGCTTTGTCTTTGGGGCTTGGGCAATTGGGCTTTTGGCTACACTGATACACGCAGTCACGCACAACACTCACGCTCACGAAGTCACGATTCATCTCTTCTCAAATCTCAATCACACAGCAGTCCCGAACGTCTGCTCACAACTCACAAGTCACAACCCTCGTCTGCTCGTCGCCATCAACTCACCACACACACCACAGGTCCACAAGACCCACAACCCTCGTCGGCCGGCTCGTCCTCGTCACAACCCACGACTCAATCAAGGAGTAATCAACCAACACGACAACACAGCCAACACTTAACTCTCAAACAGTAACACTCAAACCCAGTTGTCTTCTCTTCTTCATCGATTTGCAGTAGTGAGCCACAACCACCGGTCGTCTTCTTCGAGCCTTCGAGGTCAGTCTTTTCTTTTTAAATGTTGAATACAGTGAATAAAGTGATGTGGGTTCTAATTTGAGTGTTGAATACAGTGAATACAGTGAGGTCAGTCTTCTTCGATTTGCATTTGCATCACTGTTCTTTGAGTTTTTATACTCGTATTACTTTCTTTCCTAAATTTGGTTTTTCTAATTTCAGAATTTATGTGGGTTCTTTGAGTTATTCAATTGACAGCATCTATCAAACAGTAACACTCCCTCCCCTAAAGAGTAATGTATCGCTGTATTCAATGCTACTAGTCAAAGACTCAAAGTGTCAAACTTCATCACTTTTCTAAACCCATTATGACAGCATCTGTGACTGTATCAATGCTACTAGTCAAACTTATCATTTTTTATGGAATGAATAGATTATAAGGGAATTTTTGGAGTTGGGTATGCTTGTTGGTTGGAGATTTGAGTTTATCTTGAAAATACATAACTAGTTTGTTAGTTAATTAATGTTATTGTTGACCAGGTGCTGACCGAAATTTAACCGGGGCCGAAAAGTAAATCCCCATACCAGCCGGGGACTGTGGATATAAACCGGGGCCGGGGATTGCAAACCCCGCCCCATCCCCGCCCCGTCCCCGCCCCGTTGCCATCCCTAACCACCACTACCCAACCCATACCCCACCATCACTCACCTAGCACCCACCCCTACTACTAACGTCATAACAATTGCCACCCACAACCCTGACACCACTACGCCACTATTATCGTCGTCACAATCGCCAACCCTCCACCACCACCCCATGCAAGCACATGCAAATTCCATTTCAATTCATGCCAACCAAATGCATGGTCAAGTTTCATTCCAATTACTTCAAAGTCAAATTCCTTTTATGGATTACAATTCCACCAAATTCCATTTCGTGGCTGAACACCTCCTAAGGGGTTTGGAATATTCCTTACTGTTTTTAGAAGCACCTTCAATAGATTTTTTAAAATAGAAAAAATAGAATTTTTATTCTCTATTTTGTTCTGGAACACTCTTTATAGTGTTCTCTAAAATCGAGAAAACTCTAAGTTTAGATAAATCTCTAAAACTTGATATGAGAGGAGAGAGAGAAATGAATTTTTTTATTCATTTCTACCCATGAGATTGTTCTATTATTATTTTATATTTGTTAAAATATTAGAATGATATAATTGTATCACATTTTAATTAATTACTGCTGAAAACCCAAACGGGTTTTGTTCCAAAAAGCACCGATGGTCCAACTTGGTCTAATCACAGAGTCGTTCTTGGGGGAGGGCGGACCAGGTGTACGGCCAAAGCTTACAAGAAATAGGGCCCCAATTTTTTCCATATATTCTACATTGTGTATAGTAGTAGTTCAATAATATTAATAAATAAAAGGGACACATGTATTTGTAGTTTCTAATATGATCCATAGATAATTTAGCATTATATGAAGTCCCAGGCATGTTTAATTAATTATATTGGAGAATAAAATATGTGAAAAAATAATTGGTTGTTCATTTCATAGTATTCTTTATCGTTTTCTCTAAAAAAATGTATCTACTATTAGAATCTAAAACTACTTTGTCTAGAAAACATTGATATGTTCTCCATCATTCATCTCCCACCAACTTTGTTGATTGTTCATCCACATGAATTATATCCTTGTATTAGAATATAGTAGATTTATTGTTATTAACTAAGAGAAGTGTTTCCTTTCAAAAAAAAATTATCAACCATACGAAACAATCCAACTTATATCTATATTTAGGATTTCAAAACTAACCTTGTTTTTTCATACATTATTAACTACTTATTAACCTAATATTGAGTGCATAAATTTTAAGTACTCTCATATCTTTAAAATAAGAATAAGATCTTAAACTATAACCAAAATGGACTTTTGATTATAAGATTGATAGTTTCTAAAAAGTTTGTTTTAACCCTAAAAAGTTTAAATTTGTCATGAAAACATTACATGATATGGAAAAACAACTAATTTATGTTGGTTTATATAAAGTGGTACTCTGAATAGTCAGTATTGTGACCTTAAATTATATTAATATATATACTAAAAGCATATCATAGAATATGTATGGTTGTGGATTCTATGTAAAAATGATATGTCAGATAATATTAATTTAGAAGTAATTACTGATTGATTTTGCATCTAGGAATACTCGAAAAAAACCGGCTGATGATAAAAACAATAAATAGAATTTTTCTATTCATACTTATCGAGGGTCCCTTTTCATATCTCGACCAGGGCCTATAAAATGTCAGGATCGGGTCTGGATCTAGAGTCCGGTTTTTACGTGGTCCGGTCAATCAGGGCCGATCCAAATGCCCGTCTTGATCATATAGCATATTGACACCTAAGTTATGAGACCTCATTGAACAAGTTGTGTATTTACCACCAAACCCAACAAATCACAAATGAAATACTTCAGAACCACTCGATATACATCAAAACTCTATGAGAAGATAACAATAACAATATATATATATATATATATATATA